AAATGCCATTCCATCAAGCATACTAGGTTTTTAAAGTTATCTTGAAACATGTGACTACCATTACCTCTGCAATCATAATTTGAATATGCCCGTACCTTTGAGGTGCTGCTTGAGTGGCAAGTGACCATATGCTCAACACGGGATGGTCAGTTTTTGAGTCATGAGGGATAAACAAGGGTGAATCGCTAAATGCTAGGCGAAGACTGTCCCTTAGGCAGTTTGTAAGATTTATGACCTGTAACAATTTAACAAATTATAAGCTTTTGTTTATTTTTTCGTAAACTATATAGGCCGCTTCTCATCTTCTCTCTTTACATTGTTGATGTAAAATTTGTTGTAGTGGAGGGATATCATGTCACGTGCTCTTTTAAAAGGCTTATAACCAGGGCCGTGCACCTAGATCATAGCCTCATTGGACTTTTTCCTTTTTTTGCCTTGTTTTCTTAACTCTTTCTGAAATGGATATCATTGTATTGTCATTGCGATCCTAAATGTGTAAATTATTGTTATAAACTGTATCAGGAGGCCTGGTGAGGACAGTGATGCTGAGTCTTCAAGGGAGACAAGCAGCGCTGGTAGCAGTGATTGTGAAACAGAAAAGCGAGGCAGAGGGAGTATTGATGGTCCATTGATGCAGCACAACCGGATAAATGTTAATTCTCAGAGGCTGAGCAGACTAAGTTTGAGAGATAGACCGCCATTGAGTTCTTCAAGCGATGAAACTGAGGTCTGCATCTATCCAGGGCAGCTTGTATTTGAATATTTGAACGAGAACAACCACATTTTCGTCCACCTGTTTATGACAAGGCAAGTCCGTTCTTCAAGGTTTTAATGGATTTTTTTTTTTAATGTTCTGATCTGGACACTTCTGATTTCTTTTTGTTCCTTAGGTTACTAGTCTTGCCTCCCACTTTCCAGATCTAAAGAAGTACAGAAGCTGTGATCTATTGCCTTCAAGTTGGTTTTCAGTGGCTTGGTAGGTGTAAATGATGTTCTGTTGTTGCTGTTGTGGTTATTCCTTGTTCGTTATTTGTTGTGTTGATGAATTGAACGTCGGTTCAGGTATCCAATTTATAGAATACCTGTTGGCTCAACGCTAAGAAGTTTGGATGCATCGTTCTTAACCTTCCATTCCTTATCAACTCTTTCAAGAAGTATGTTTATCTTATTCATTCTGAGAAGAAATACACACTCATTGAAGCTATTCCCTTTCATTACCCTTGAATCCGTTTCTTTCTAACTGGTGCAGGCAAATTTCAACCACAATTTAATGCTTCTGGTGCCAAGAAGATCCGTGGGTGTTGGTGCAAAGGTTTCTCTTCCGGTTTTTGCCCTTGCTTCCTATAAGTTGAGAGGTTCAATTTTCACTCCTGACGGAGGCTCTGAGTGGCAGCAAGCGAACTCTTTGTCACAGGCTGCTGACAATTGGCTGCAGCGGTTGCAGGTTAAACTTCCTGATTTCCAGTACTTTATAAGCCATAGCTCGCAATGGAGATGATAAGGGAAGCTTTGAGTTCAAAAGTTCTTCCGCATTTTAGAGAAACCCGCATTGGTGTTGGACGGAATATGTTGAAAACTTACTCTCTTACTAACCATCTTAATTCAGCCTCTTGTTATAATTATGGTAGTTTTCTTGATAAAAATTGCAGTTCACGACACAGGATGGAACGAGTTGCCAGCAGTGGTTGGAATTTAAAGTCATTTGATTATCCGACCATATTATATTGGAGCCTACGAAATCCATGAAAGGCTCGTAGCAATACAAATCTGTAATTCTATTTGCTTAATGATTCAGGCATGATACAACTACTACTATAGGCACATTGATATTTTATAAGGCCCCTCTTTTTAAGTCTGCCTGGGGCAGTTCAAACATACACAGCCCTGGTATAAGGAGTATATGACTGTACTACTCATTGTTCTGTGATTTATTTACATTGACAAGAATTAAGAGAGACTTTCTTGACCTTTTAAAGCGCATAGACGCGCCGCCGCATTTGACACAGGGTTTTTCTCAGAAGCTCTGATGCTCTAAACGGCAGGTGTTGGTGGTGGTGGTGGTGGTGGAGGGAAATCAAATGGCAAGGCAGTGAATTCAACTAAGTCATTCAAGGTAACATCTAATTAGTCCACATATGAATGGAATTGTTCTTGCCAAGGTAGATCGAGAGATGTCCAGTCCAAATCTGCCGCCTCATGGCGCTTCATCTCATCTTCACATTACCAGATATTGGTTGAACTCATGTTAATAGTGGGAATGAAAGATGTCTTCTTCCGGTGATGGGAGTTAAAAAAAAAAAAAAATTGCCCACGTGTATCTAATAAAACAATTATTCTTCTAGCATCCTGTGGCACAGAATCAGGACAAGGCTCCCTGGGATGAAAGATGACTTGATTCTTTTCTTTCTTTTCTTTTTTTTTTTTACCATTTAAGATTACGGGATTTCGATGCTCCAGATTTTACATGGAATTTTTTTACCCATCTGGGATCTCCTTTACTGGTCCAAGAGTTGATTTTTTTTTTTGTGGGGACTGACCAAGAGTTGAGATTATCGGACAGCCAATCTGTGAAATAACTGAAATTGAGGGAATCAGGACTCGTTAAATAACTCGAACCAAACCGGAGAGCCCTGGAGAAAGGACAAGTCAAACAAATGATCTCGACTTTCAGGGTTTCACGTCTTTCTCGCCGAACATAGGAGTCATCTGTCTATAGATGAAGCTCGATCGTTGTGCTCTTTTTTTTCTCTTTTGAACATTAGTTAATGTACTTCTACGAAGAGTATTCCCTAAAAGACGCCAATTGATACTCATATATTCTGAAAATTTATTAATGCTGATATTAATATATTATAATAAAGGGTGCACTAGATTTACTTTTCATTTCTCTTCCCTAGATTTTACTGATGTAGGAGGTGTTTGGAACACCCTATAATTACTTTTCAGAAATACTTTTTTACAAATCGAGACAAACTCCTCCATATATTTGCTTCGTATACTGTAAAAGCACTTCAAAAACCATAGTTTTGTTCTTATCTAAACACCTCCGTAGTTGTTTAATAGTAGAAGAGTGGTTTTGATAAAAAGGATTATTCAATAGTCTCTGTTCTAGTTCAAGGTAAAAAAAAAAAAAGTCTTGTGTTCTAGTAAAATTTAATTTAATGATATTTAACTAAAATACTCTTAATTTAAGTGTTCTCCTTTTTTTTGCCAACGAATTTAAATATTCTCATAAGTATATTATTTTAGTATTTATTTCGTCAAAGTGAATATTCTATTATCATTAACGTTTTATTAAATTTTAAAATGACAAATATTTTAAAATATTAGGAAACTCAGGGTGACCATTTGTTTTGGGGGCATGAGGTATAATTACAGTCAGTGAATCAGCAGTCCCCTTGTCATACGGATAAACCGAATAAGGTCAAGGCAGCATTCGCTATTCCATGCATCCACAGGCACAAAGCGGCTCCCACCTTGTTCAGGAAAACCTTATCCCGAAACTTGCAGAATAAGGCGACAACTGTAGCATTCAGAAGTCTCTATACTCCCAAGTCCAAGGTGCCTTTCCCTTTTTATTCGCTCCCAAACATTTATTTTATGTTTCTTGATACTGCCTACGGCGCGTGGCGCCGATTTTCTGATTCATTGTAAACTTGTTTTGGCCACCATAGCTGATCATTATTCCGTGTCAATTTAATTAAACTTCGTGGTTTTTTCCCCCCAATTCTGCGCAATCCACTGTCACCTCAAACATTTTTCGTACTGTCCTTTTAGAATTTAGGGCCTTGACGTTTGCGTCTGAAACGGAGGACGCGCACGAACGAGAATAACTCTTTAGTCTTTACTTTTTGGGAGTTGTTAAACAGAGGAGAGCGTGAAGTTTTACATCCAGATTCGAATGGATTCTTATGTGGAGAAGAAACATAGGAATTTATACAAATGGAAAGTAATGGGTGTATGATATCTCCTCCTTACTCGTATATTCCTCTTCTGCTTGACTGCCTATATTAAACTTGGGCTAAATGAGAGGAGGCCTGTTGGAAGAGTTAATGCATGATATGCTGCCTTCTGAGTTTACTCTGTCCGAGGTTAGCAGATTGTTACGTCGGATTGGGACCTGTGGGAAATGATGCATAAAAGTTAAGGTGTATCCGCTGAAAACTGTCATTGGTCTATCTGCCGGGATCGGGAAATCTCACTGCATTGTTCGATTGTGATGGCAAGTTTGACTAGTAAATTATCGCAATTGTAAATCTATCAACTCATAACAATCTTAGACTATCTATCTCACAACCTGACATTGATTCATTCTTAAATTTTGTTCAGCAAGGCTGTTATCTGCTTTCAATTTTCGTACCCGATAACATCGTGTTAATTGAGTGAGAACTTGTTTTTGTGTAGAAGTTTATTTGAAGAGCTAAGCTGTTATAATACGCGACATTTTGTTTATGTACTAATGAATTAATGTTAATGTAGTGATGTAGTTTATGGAGCAATGTGGGATGCATAAGTAAACTATGTGCAGAGAAGGCGCTGCAACCTTGTTTTAGTTTACCGTCCAAGAATTATATTCTCTGACTAAATTTGAGGCCTTCTCTTGACGTACATGATAATTAGGGTTGGATAATGATTCAAGTTCTCCGATTCTGGCTTTACCTCTCATTTTCTGTGCCGTGTAAAGGTATTTGAATGGCACACCTAGTTCAGAACTTTAAGCATTGATTATTTCTTTATTTCTGTTTTCAACTGTGTATCTATAACATGAATTTGATGCCAAAGGATACCTATGTAATTTAGCTTCAAAGTCTTGTCTTTAACCAATCGATTAAAAATTTTGAAATTTTATCTAATTTATTATTTTTAGTGCACTCTCACTTTCAGTGCTTGATAATAATTCTCATTGTGTATCTTGCGCTCTAGAAACATGGGCGTCGAAGCCCAAAACAGTAAAGAACGGCTAAGAACAATTTGGACGCCTGAAATGGATCGGTATTTCATTGGTCTGATGTTAGAGCAGGTTGGCAAAGGAAATAAATTGGATGATCATCTGTTCAGCAAAAGAGCATGGAAGCACATGTCCGCAATGTTCAATGCAAAGTTCAAATCTCAGTATGAAAAAGACGTTCTAAAAAATCGCCACAAAACATTAAGGAATTTGTATAGGACCGTTACAAAGCTTCTTGCCCAGACGGGGTTTAGCTGGGACGAAAAGCGAAAAATGGTGACCGCTGATAATAATGTTTGGGATGAATACATCAAAGTAATGAAAATTGAATCTTGTGTTTAGTTCTTTTCTCTTAATCTTATAAAGGTTTTCAATTATTAATTATTTTTTGCTTGATAATGGCAGGTACATCCGGATGCCCGATCTTATAGAATAAAAAGCATTCCCTACTTTAGTGACTTGTGTACTATTTATGGACGCGCACTGACTGCAGAAAAAGGTAATTCAGTGATTGTGTTTTGTTGTTGATGTTGTTGAGGACTAATATAACTATGGTTGATCCTTAGAAGGTCTGGAATATGTTCCAATGTATGGTGATTATGAATATGAATCTTAGATGATAAGGAATCAAATAGGTCGTCGAATTCCAGGTGATGATGGAGCCACCATGGCCATACAATCTAACAGTGTCGGTGAGGATACTGGTGAGGTTTTCCAAGATACAAAGGTTGCAGAAAACCTTGGAGTTTCTATACCGGAAAATGCAAACGATGATTTTGAGCTAAGTTTGTCAAAGGCTTGTACCCGTTCTCGCACTTATTGGCAGCCACCAATGGACCATTATCTTATTAACTTGATGCTTGCCCATGTGCACAAAGGAAACCGGGTTGATGGTGCATTCAGCAAGCAAGCATGGATGGAGATGATTTCATCATTCAATGAAAATTTTGGCTTTGACCATAGTGTAGAGATTCTTAAAAATCGATACAAAACTCTGAGAAGGCAGTATAATGTTATTAAAGTCTACTTCATTTGGATGGGTTTGTCTGGGATGATGCACGGCAGATGGTTACTGCTGATGATTATCTCTGGCAGATTACATCAAGGTATACACCTACTATAGAAATCTATTAGGAATATCAATACTCAATTAGTAAATGATTACATTGGCATAGGGAATCATCTGTGTGGTTTTATTTATCAATTCCCTCTCTTTGATGATATTATTGGGCTTGGATTCAGTAATACAGCAATTTACCAAGGCCCAACCCCCTGGTTCTAGGTACTTCTTTCTTACTCTTCTGTTGGTCAGCTTTTTCGTGCAATGTAAAACAAAGTAAAACGAACTTAAAATTCTTTGAAAAATGTAAAGCTTCAAGGGTGTGCATGTTAATAAAAGTGGAAGTGGATTGGAAAAAAGTAGGAACATGGCAAAAATGCCTACATCCATTCCCCTTTGACAGTGCATATTTACTTAATTTTTCTGGATGAAAAATGAAAGACAAATTCATTTTCCTACTGAGAAAGCATGTAATGGGATCCTCATTGCTAAATGCTAACTGCATTTTTACCAAGAGAGTTTAAGCAATAGTAATGCTTATAATGATAATATATTAGTCTTTATGTGGACAAGGTTTAAAGACCATTGAAATGATTACATGCAGGTGCATCCTGATGCGCGGCAGTTTATGACCCGACCTGTGCCATATTTTAAGGATTTGTGTGTGATATATGACCCCACTTTTGATGAAAAGGAATCTCCGCGTCAAGATTTGGATCCGCAAAATTCAGTTGCAGATGTGAGTATGGAGCCATCTGAAATTGGTCTATCTCCAGCAGCATCTAATTATATTGAATACCATGATGGTAATGTGAGTGACTTAACACATACTAGTGAGAAACATAAGCGCCAATTAGAGATCGATTCCACTTGCCCCAAAAGATTAAGGGACGTTGAAGTAGGCATGGCTAGCACTCTCCAGGAGATGGCAACTACTGTTTCTTCTCTGTCAACAAAAAAGAGTGATGATAACTCAGTACCGATAGAGATTGTGATAGAAGCAGTACAAGCATTGCCTGATATGGATGAAGATCTGGTTTTGGATGCCTGCGATTTTCTGGAGGATGAAAAAAAAGCAAGAACTTTTCTAGCGCTGGATGTTAAGCTGCGAAAGAATTGGTTGCTTCGGAAACTTCGGACGTAAGCTTAGCTCGTGGCCCCATACCTTTCATCTCTTCTTTCAAGCACTTGACAGTTAGCATTGTTCTGTTATCCATGCCCTTTCTTAACAGGCTTAGCTTATACCTTGAGTGATACCCATATTTGTGGGGTAAAATTGGAGCTAAGATTAGCTCGTATGTTCATAGAAGGGTTCAGAAAGTCCTTGCATTATTAACCTAGTATTTGTCAGGGTTTATGTGTTTCTGAAATAATGTCGTAATCATTATTATTACTATTATTATCAATCTCGTACAACTGCTACTCTTTTTCTGAAACCTTGTTCTCCTTTCATATTGCTTTTAAGTTGGATTCTATCGTGTTGAAGAGCGACGGATAAACCAAGTTCAATGTCTGGGTGTATATTTTCAATTATATACTATTTTCATTTTTAATATACTACTTCCGGCTAATTATAAGACCCAGTTGACTAATTTGAGGAGATTAAGGAGTAAGTTAAGTTAGTTATTTGTAACAAATAAGTGTTGCCATTCCTAAAATATCCTTGCTAATTAAGTGTGTTGGTTAAAACTATCATTATTATAAGGATTATTTTGAAAAAAATGCATAAATATGAGAGACAAAATGGATTAGGGTCTTATAATTAAGACCAAACTAAAAGTCAAAGGGGTCTTATATTAAGGACCGGAGTAGTAAGAGCTAATTGGTTAATTTGAATAAATTAAAAAAGTTTTTTAAGTTAGTTATTTGTAACAAGTAAGTGATTTTTTTTAGAATATCTTTGCTAGGTGTATATTAGTTAGATCTATTATTTAATGAATATTTAATGCGTGCACTATTATAGGATTATTTTAAAAAAAAAAAGATAATTAAGAGAAAAAGTATATTGTGATTTTTATTTATAATCAAACTAGCTATTTTGTTAAGTAGGGGAGGTAGTACATATGATTTATTTTTTTTTAACTAGAAAGTACATATGAGTGATAGAGAGAATTCATTCATGATTTTTTTTTGGGGCTTAAAATCATATATATGTAATGTGATGTTTGATTTAGAGGCGTAAATATTTGAAATTTAACGAGGTGGGAGGCTATAGGTGTCTGCGAATTTGAAGATCGTTATGAATTCGCTGCCCACCTACAGGCTGTTAATGTGCCGTAGCTCTATTCTGCCTGGCTTCATAGATCCAAGATATGCCCTTTTTAAAAAAAAACAAAATTTCTTTGCCATCTTTTAAAAACAAAATTGAATTCAAGATATGCCTCTCATTTTAAACTTGGAACTTAAAGTTCATAAAATGTTTCATCTCATGAAGGGGGAAAAAATTAAAGTCAAAACACAACTTCTGCTTTGCTTGCCATTCAAATTTGACATGTGATTATTGAATACTATTCATCTTTAGCACTTAAATCACTCAGATTATTATGATCAAAAGGTGGAATCAGAATTTTTTTTTTCGTAATAATTTTAATCAAAGAGCAACAACTTTTACAATTTTTTTTTTTGAAAAAAATGTAAAACAAATAAGCAAACGACCAAAGCGGAAAGTGGGAAGATAAGTAAAGAGTAGACAAAAGCAGCTCCTTTGCCTTGCCCGTCCGATGGAAACGCCTTAATTATCCAGCATTGTCTTTATTAATATTTTTTTATTTTCAAAAAAGGAAAACCGAAAAGCATCGAAGTTCGTTCAGTTTATTAGACCGTTGAAGTTAAATGCCCTTTTGACTTTTCTCGTGACGTGCAGGGACCACATAAATCAAACGGACATCTTCCGTCAGCAAGCCCCTGCATGATCTCATCCAATCAACGGTCCAGATCAGTCGAACGTTACAATGAAATCGCAGGCGACCTTTTTTCCATTAAATTCAAATTCTACCGTTGCCCCATATCACAATTCACAAGCTGTTCTTATCCCTCTTCTTCCCCCTCCCTCCCCTGTTCTCATCGATCATCGTTCACTTCAATATTCCCACCAATTCGTTATGGGCATTTGATTGACGATTCGGGTTTTATCATCACTTCATTTTGTTTATTCTCGCCCATTCACTCTCCTATTTTGGACTCGGAGACAATTTCTCCGGCAAAGATGGTCAAAACACCTGCTTCTCCTTCCTCCTCTCCGGTGACCATAACTGTGTCATCGGCGGGTAAAGGAAGTGGAAGTAGAAGTATGGGTCTAACCAGTCCTGTTCCACGTGCTTCAGTGTCGAACAATCCAAATTCCCCTCTTAGTGGCAGAGGAAACAGAGCTTCCCTTGGCGGAAGGCGAGCATCAGGCGGCGGTAATTGCTGCTCAATGTCGAAAGACGATGCGATGGAAGAACTCAGTTCTGAATATGTGACATACACTGTTCATATACCTCCCACCCCTGAGCGCCAGACCTTGTCATCCTCACAGACTAGCCTAACCGAGGACGCCAAGATTTTGGGAAAGCCTGATAGAAGTTACATTTCAGGTACACTCTTTACAGGAGGATTCAATTCGGTGACCCGAGGGCATGTGATTGAATGCTCCGTGGAAGGAGAGGAGCCTGTGAAATCTGGGCCAGTTTGTGGAATGAAAGGTTGCGATGAGGAAGCAATGAATGGCAAGTCCGGTGGTCCTTGCGAGTGTGGGTTTAAGATTTGCAGAGATTGTTATTTGGAGTGCGCTGGAAATGGAGGAGGTCGATGTCCTGGTTGCAAAGAACCTTTTAAGTATATAAGTGACGATGAAGAGGAGCAGATATCTGAAGAAGAAGACCAGGCTCTGCCATTACCTTCTATGGCAGAATTCAAGTTGGATAAGAGGCTTTCGGTTGTGAAATCGTTTAAAGCGCAAAACCATCCCCCTGACTTTGATCACACTCGTTGGCTCTTTGAAACAAAAGGAACATATGGGTATGGCAATGCTGTGTGGCCCAAAGACGGGTATGGCGCCGGATCAGGTGCTAACGGATTTGAGAACCCACCAGATTTCACAGAGAAAACCAGGAAACCTTTAACAAGGAAGGTCGGAGTTTCAGCTGCGATTCTTAGTCCATACAGGTAAGTCCCAATGCTTAGCTCTCCGCGTACTTCAAATATTTCTTGACAATTCTTATTTTGAGTAGAGTTCAAATGGTAGCAGTTAATACTTTAATTGGATTTTTGTTTTTATTTGGAAGTCGGGGTCCGATATTGAGAGCCCGAATTTCATTTTAAAGAGTGCTAATGAAGCCCAATTAGTTTCTGGTCATGCTCATATGTATGCAACCTATCTATTTCAGATTACTTATTCTGATGCGTCTTGCTGCACTCGGTTTATTTCTTACTTGGAGGATTCGCCATCCTAACCGCGAAGCAATGTGGCTGTGGGGAATGTCCATTACTTGTGAGCTCTGGTTTGCATTTTCATGGCTACTTGACCAGCTCCCTAAACTCTGCCCTGTGAGCAGAGTTACTGATCTCTCTGTACTGAAGGAGAGATTTGAGTCCCCAAACCTCCGTAACCCTAAAGGGAGATCTGATCTTCCAGGGATCGATGTTTTTGTTTCTACAGCAGACCCAGAAAAGGAGCCTCCTCTTGTCACGTCAAATACCATTCTTTCAATCCTAGCTGTTGATTATCCAGTGGAGAAGGTTGCATGTTACTTGTCTGATGACGGTGGATCTTTATTGACCTTTGAAGCTCTAGCTGAGACTGCCAGCTTTGCAAGAATATGGGTTCCTTTTTGTCGAAAGCACCAGATAGAACCCCGAAATCCTGAAGCATATTTCGGGCAGAAGGGTGATTTTCTGAAGAACAAGGTACGGCTAGACTTTGTAAGGGAGAGGCGAAAGGTGAAGAGAGAATATGATGAATTTAAAGTGAGAATAAATTCTCTGCCAGAATCAATAAGGAGAAGATCCGATGCTTACAATGCTCACGAGGAGCTGCGAGCAAAAAAGAAACAGATGGAATTGGGTACCAATGTTTCCGAACCCATTAAGGTTCCCAAGGCAACATGGATGTCCGATGGTTCTCATTGGCCAGGAACTTGGGCATCAGCAGAACCGGATCACTCAAGGGGGGACCATGCCGGTATAATTCAGGTGGTTTAAATTCTTTATATAACTCATCTACATAATGCTTGGTGTGTGTGTGTGTGTGTGTGTGTGTGTGTAGAACGAAGGCACTAAATATCATCTTTTTCCGCAGGCTATGTTAGCTCCGCCAAATGCAGAACCGGAATATGGTGCAGAAGCAGATGGACAGAACTTGATCGATACAACAGCGATTGATATTAGGTTGCCGATGCTCGTCTATGTATCTCGTGAAAAGAGGCCAGGATATGATCACAACAAGAAAGCTGGGGCCATGAATGCTCTAGTACGCACTAGTGCTATAATGTCGAACGGACCATTTATTCTGAATCTTGACTGTGATCATTACATACACAACTCATTAGCTCTTAGAGAAGGCATGTGCTTTATGCTTGACAGGGGTGGTGATAGGATATGCTACGTTCAATTCCCACAGAGGTTTGAGGGTATTGACCCCAGTGACCGATATGCAAACCACAATACTGTGTTCTTTGATGTGAGTATGAGAGCTCTCGATGGCTTACAAGGTCCAATGTACGTGGGTACAGGCTGCATTTTCAGGAGAACAGCTATTTATGGGTTTAGCCCTCCTAGAGCCACAGAACATCACGGATGGCTTGGGAGGAAGAAAATTAAATTGTTTCTGAGAAAGCCCAAGAGGTCAAAGAAGGAAGAAGATGAAATAGCTCTCCCGATCAATGGTGATCCTAATGATGACGACGCGGATATTGAGTCTTTGCTTCTTCCCAAAAGGTTTGGAAACTCTACTACCCTCGCTGCATCGATCCCTGTGGCAGAATACCAGGGCAGGTTGCTTCAAGATGTGCAAGGACGAGGAACACAGGGAAGGCCAGCAGGTTCTCTTGCAGTGCCACGAGAACCATTAGATGCTGCAACTGTTGCAGAGGCAATAAGTGTGGTATCCTGTTTCTATGAGGACAAAACTGAGTGGGGCAAGCGAGTAGGATGGATATACGGCTCTGTAACAGAGGACGTGGTGACTGGTTACCGTATGCACAACAGAGGGTGGAGATCTGTGTACTGTGTGACGAAAAGGGATGCTTTTCGCGGAACAGCGCCAATCAATCTGACAGACAGGCTCCACCAAGTGCTCCGATGGGCCACAGGGTCCGTTGAGATCTTCTTCTCAAGGAATAACGCCTTATTTGCAAGTCCTAGAATGAAGTTTTTGCAGAGGGTGGCATACTTCAATGTGGGAATGTATCCTTTCACCTCGATGTTTCTGCTAGCCTATTGCTTTCTTCCTGCGGTCTCTCTCTTTTCGGGGCAGTTTATAGTGCAATCCCTCAGCGTAACCTTTTTGGTGTTCTTATTGGCCATCACACTGACACTGTGCTTGCTTGCACTTCTGGAGATCAAATGGTCAGGAATCACTTTACATGACTGGTGGCGGAACGAACAATTCTGGTTAATTGGAGGGACAAGTGCCCATCCTGCTGCTGTGTTACAGGGCTTATTGAAGGTGATAGCAGGAGTAGACATATCATTCACTCTGACCTCAAAGTCTGCCACTCCAGAAGATGGAGATGATGAGTTTGCAGATCTCTATGTGGTGAAATGGAGCTTTCTAATGGTCCCTCCAATTACAATCATGATGGTGAACATGATTGCTATCGCTGTTGGTGTAGCCAGGACAATGTACAGCCAGTTCCCACAATGGAGCAGACTGGTGGGAGGCGTCTTCTTTAGTTTCTGGGTCTTGTGCCATCTCTATCCGTTTGCAAAGGGGTTGATGGGGAAGAGAGGGAAGGTTCCGACCATTGTTTATGTCTGGTCTGGATTGCTTTCAATTATCATCTCCTTGCTTTGGGTGTACATAAACCCCCCTGCTGGAGCACAAGACTACACGAAATTCCAGTTCCCTTAGATTGGAGGAAGACGGAGTTCCTCTATACTTGTGCCAATGTGCGCCATTCTTTATCAACTTACGTAGATGAGAGTTATGCTGTATTAATTCCGTGGTGTGATTATCTTGCCTTGTGCAATTACAGTTGATGATGTGTGTAGGACCACTGTCTACAGTAGACCGCTGTCTATATCGATATCGAAGAAAAGTCATATATTTTCTTCTTTCGTCAGTTCGCTTCATTCCTTTGACTATTTGTATTCCATGCTACAAATTATCTCGGGCTATTAATGTCTGGGGTACGCTTATTTGTATCATCAGGGGAAAAAACCTAAAGTTAATTTAATAATTTAAAACAAAAGCGTTCAACATGATTTAAGGAAACTGGTTTCACGAACAACCAACGTTTATTGTTAAAACGATTTATAATGCCTCCTAATTTAAAAGGAACCTACCGAGTATGGTTTTATAATAGTAATTTTTTTGCCAGCTTTATCATAGTGATTTAAATGTCAATGAAACCGTGAGAGATACAGCATAGTTGGCAAATAATTATGTCAAAATAGAATAAGATTGTTTTTTTTTTTTTAAATGAGATGTTTTAATGTAATAATTATTTTAAAATTTAAATTAATGAGATACAATATAATTGGCAGATAGTTGTGTGACTCACTGTCAGTCAGGGGATTGTGTTTTTTTTTTAAGGTTATCGTGCCCTCTATTTGGGCTGCATCCCAAACTTCCAAGTGATGGGCCTTTGTCTCAACGACTAGAACAAAGGCATGAGAAAAGGTTCGGCCTTTTAACACGCGCTTATCCAGAATTGACCCCATCAAATCAGAGATTAAAGCACAAATTCTCACTCATAAGTGCACGGGGCGCATCATAATCATACAAGGCACAATTTTAAACTCCTAATTTACACGAAACGTACAAGGGCAGCATGTTCATTGATTAACCAGGTGCCTAACTTTTTACGGCTTGCATGAAATTGGGAAACATGTTCATTCTTTATTTTATGATATTCTTGGCATTCGTTAGAAATGTGTGTTTTAAATAAGATGGTGTGATGGATTATATAATAGTGCAGTGTACGCGCCACCGGAGACGATCTGTTCGTCAAGAACTTGTCGTCTGAAACGAGTAAGCTCAGCCCTGTCCAAGCAAACAAGGCTGAAAAGGCAATTAAATCATCCCCCTCTCTCACTAATCTCTGGAAAAAGCTTCTCGTATATTATTGACCTGAACAGCTGGGGAAAAAGAAAAATGAGCCGGCCGGAAATAGGAAAATTGCTGACTTAAAGATGCCCAATGCCAGACAAAAGTAAGATGGTCTTGATTTCTTGTGTGGATTATTACAGAGAATTAAATAATATGTGAGTGTGTGTGCGTGCGTGCGTGTGTGTGTGTGAGAGAGAGAGAGAGAGCATATATATTTCAGGTGGAGAAGAGAGCGGAGATTTAGTTAGGCGGAGGGAGAGGGGGAGCAGGGCGGTGGGGCGACGCCACGAGGAGGGAGTTGTAGATGTGAAGGATCATGTTGCGATCATACTCCTTGACGGAGGTCTTGCCGAAGGCTACCACGGCGTCGGCTCCGGTCATTCCCCTCACTCCCGACGTTGCCAATCCCATCATCATCCTCGTGTAGGCGTCTCTCAGCCACAGCACCATCTTCTTAGCCCTCCCTGAGATTCTGGTGATTCGGACCTTGGGGCCCGCCCTCATCCTCCAGAATCGCCCGCCCCACACCTTCCTCCTCCTCCTCCCATTCAACCTCTGGTACCTTCTCCTGCTCCAGTAGTCCCTCCATCCCTTTACCACGCTCCCACAAACGCCTTTCATGCGTGGCTTTTTGCCCCCAGCAGGTCGAGTTGAGGTTAATTGGGTGTGTATTTATATGGCTTAAAATTACAGAAACAGCTGGTGTGGGCGAGCATTGAATGAGGGGGAGGCGTGTAGGTAAGGATTTCGGTCTCCGTGATGAGTGGGAGTCTTGACGTCCTCTCTTGGTTGGCATGGTGATTTAATTTATGGCCCATTCGGCTCCCAATGTTGACGATGTTCTTGAACAAGTCACTCGGTACTCAAGGCTCATAAATAAACAAGGAGAATCTATTCAGATGCAGGAGGGCCACCGAGGGATGGACGCAGATAATTAATAAAGGTTGGCAGAGGAAATACGAGCATTACTTGGGAGCTGTTGGTGGTTGTGTGTGGTTTGACTATGGCGAGTGACACAGGCAATCAGATAAGTGGAAGAATCCTCGAATTGGATAGGGATTTATGAAGCTTCGAGTGTAGCCTTGGCCTCTTTTCATTTTGGGTGGGTGGGCATCCATTCCGTTCACGGCTGTTCAATGAGTTAGGTATCAAGTGCCTCCACAAATTAACTCCTCTACTCATCAATTGGAATTGGTCATTGCTGCTTAACTTTCCAATGGATTCACGTCGCCCCCGCTATTTATTCTCTCTTGCACGCTTATATAATTAACATATACTACATCAGTTGGGTTCGTGTCTCTCTCACACCTCCCTTTCTCCAACTTTATCTCCTGCCCACTCACTCTCCATTTTAACTAAACTGTCCGTCCTTTGTTGATGGTTGACTAATTAAAACGTTTTAAGCAATGATTAAAGAACCGGACCGGACCGGACGGTCGGACCGGTTGAACCGTCACCCGGACTCGTTAACGGCTCGGTTTGTACCAAAAAACCGTTTACATAGTTGAGCCGGATTAGACCGGAGTTGAGCCGTTATTAAGCCGGAAACCGGAGTTGGACCAGGAACCGGAACGGTTTTCAGAAAACCGGACGGTTTTTTAGCCTGATTGAAAAAATACTAAAATTTTTTTAAAAAATAGAAGAAAAATAAAAAAATTGATCCCCTTAAATATCCTAATATATTTTTAGACTATTTATAACCATATAGTATTATTTCATTGAAAATTTCATATATTGTGATGTTAAAATCGTAAGTCGCTAGTCTTTTTGTTTCGATATTTGGTCTATCTTTTAAAAAAAATATTTTGATTTGAATGAATTGATAATTTGTAATATCATTAAATATTTTAAACATACATAAATTTAAATATATAAGGTTTTAGTCCATTTTCAATGATTTCATTATAATTTTAGATTATTTAAATGCATTTCAAAATTATTTAATAATTTGATATTTTTCATATATACTCATTATATGTATATAATATTGTTTTAAATTAATTATTGCGTCATCGGTCCGACCGAACGGTCTGACCGATCCGACCGATTGAACCATAACCCGTTGATCTTTCCGGTTCGACTTCCGGTCCGGCTTTTAAAACATTGTTGTGATGTTAAAATCGTAAGTCGCTAGTCTTTTTGTTTCGATATTTGGTCTATCTTTTAAAAAAAATATTTTGATTTGAATGAATTGATAATTTGTAATATCATTAAATATTTTAAACATACATAAATTTAAATATATAAGGTTTTAGTCCATTTTCAATGATTTCATTATAATTTTAGATTATTTAAATGCATTTCAAAATTATTTAATAATTTGATATTTTTCATATATACTCATTATATGTATATAATATTGTTTTAAATTAATTATTGCGTCATCGGTCCGACCGAACGGTCTGACCGATCCGACCGATTGAACCATAACCCGTTGATCTTTCCGGTTCGACTTCCGGTCCGGCTTTTAAAACATTGGTTTTAAGGAGCATTTTGTAGTTGAGAGTGGAGTTACTGATACTATATAATTATACACCGGGTTTGCAACAAGAGCAGCAAACAACATTCATGAACTTTTGTAATTAAGGTCTTTCTAAAGCATATGTTTGGTCCCTAACATACGTTCCAGAAATTCTCGAGATTATTATTCGTAATTTTTTTTTTTTAAAGCCGAAAAGTCGTTTGTCTGTCCTGTAATGGTTGACATTGAGGATGAAAGATCAGGCGGGCGGTGTGCAGATGGGAAGGGTGAAAGGGACCTAATTCTAAACCAGCGATCTTCATAAATGCTGCTCTTTCTGGTTCCATGCTTCCCTCTATGTCCTTAGCCTCTCCCTTCGATTTCAGGCTTCCTTGCACTCACATGATCTTTGGAACTAACCACCGTGACTCCCCGACTGCGTGCTCACCCGTCACCATCACGACACTTGTCATCTCAGTAACATATATCGCAACAACACAGCACACGACGGTGAAATACCCAGCCACGTCCAGGTGATTCGCATTCAATTTAACAAAAATGGAGGATGCGTATTGCATCCATTCCTTCTTCACCCCCCCCCCCCAAAAAAAACCCACAAAAGGCCAACGATGGATTAATTTATAATGTTGTATTCAGTCTTGGGCTTAGTTGTTCTCAGATCCACTTGTCTGTGACTCGGATGTCCAATTGGTAGACCCATTGAATCGCACGTGATTTGGGCTGGTCTTCAGCTTCCACATATGTCTTAGTCGAAACTGTCCAGTTTATATGCAAGCTCATGCTATGGTACCCTACCCACACACACACACAAAAAATAAAAAAACAGACAGAGAGAGAGGAGTAATTTTTTACTTTTAATAAAAAGAAAGAATATATGACGTGTTCGCCGGCAAAACATGGCGAAAGGCTTCTCCGGTCAATCCGCGCACTTCCCTGCCAACTGTTTGTGGCACTTCAATAACTGCGAATAACTTAATTGTTCATCAAGATAATTCTGCCCCCAGAACCAGAAGATAAAAGCACTCAATATGCTGGTAAAAAAAAAAAAAGGAAAAAAAAAAGCACTCAATATGAGAAGTAAAATTCCATATTAAAACCAAGGACATCTATACATCCATTGGAGCACTCCATCATCCTCAAAAGTCTTCGCCCCGAAGAGTCCTAAGAACCCTTGAATGGGGTGCATCGGGGTCACCACGCATAGCATTCTGTCTCCATATCTCTGTAGCCCTCCTGAGCGCCTCCTCCGCCGTGTCCAGCTGCTCCGGCAGCCAACCAATCACATCCCTACCTGCTCCAGAGTTGGCGGTCCCATCCGTCGCCCGCGCAAACGGCTTCCGGGAATCTGCGAACTCTAATTCCGACAAGGGTGACGCTTTGTGATGTTTATAGTATTCTCTTTCATCCTCCAGCTTTTCCGCCCTGTTCCTCTCATCCTTTCCACTGTCCTTCGGCCAGGGGCTTCCATCGAGACCCGCACAGCTCGCGTCTTCAGAGGCTTTGGATCCCTGCTTCCGCTTTCGCTGAAACGTTGGATCCAATCGCTGGTTCACCCCGTTACTCTTCAGTTTTGCCGAAGATTCATACGGAGATTTGGGAGTTTCGAGAAACTCGTCTTCTTTGGGTTTGTGCTCTGTTTCCGCAAATTTGGTATTTCTTGAGCTCTTAATCCCCTGCAATACTCATAGACACATTTAACATCAGAGTCTCAGCGCACAATGGAAAAGGTAGAAAAAAATTGAAGCAATCACGTTGATAGGAAATGAATCAAATGGTTACTTGGGGTTCTCCTTTGTGAACCGCAGGGCCGGCTTCTCGTTCACCGGAATGAATGGCTGGGTCGGCGGTCTGACCGCTAGAGGCAGCGCAAAATCGTCGCTGGAGATTACGACGATAGACTGCAGACAACATACGAATTGAAGTCCTAGCTGTCGTGTCCAATAACCTTGACTGCATGTCGTTGCTTTCTGAATTGTTCTGCTTTCAAGACTCTTAAAATTGGACTGGATAGCATGCGATAGTATGCGAAGTGATAAAGCCCGGATGACTTAGAAATAGGGCGCGAGGTACTTTCTCGAGTGTACTGGACGCGTGTCTGAAACGTTTGACGTGGCAACGTCTCTGTCGTCACGGTGTACTTGCGTGCCGGCTTCCCATTGGTCAAGGACCCCTCTAGAAAAACAGAGCAGAAGGCGGTGCGCTTGTGCTCTTCTTTTTGGTGATAGAAGAACATTGAAGAAAACTCTAGCGAAAGGAAAGGCAGTGGTTTTCACTATAGTAACTACAGTTAGAGTATGCCGCATACTTGAAATTATTCTATTTTATTTTATTTTGGCCAACCAGATACGAAAGAATCAAAAGAAGAGCATTTAACGATCTACACCGCATGAAATGGATAAATAAATATATGAATTTGTTTCTTGTTGGGTTCTAGTGTCGCTCTGGTGGGTAGGTAGAGCCACAAGAAAGAGCCATCAGTGATATGGCGGCTTCTTCTTCCTCTCTTAACTTCATCTGCCTTCCAATCGGCATGCGCTGCTTCATGACTCTACCATTCGGAGTCCTCTTCTTGCGTTTTTGTGGCACTGCACTACTCAGCCCTCGAAGAGCCATTCCTTTTCTGAATCGTAATCCGCATGCATTGCACAGAGACTGGAAATAACGTGAAAAATAAAATCAGAAAGAAGTGATCATTCGAAAAATATAGAATAATTAGAGCGACGGAACCGTTGATGGCGTACCCTTGGCCCATCTGGACCCGCCCTCCATAGTGGGGTAGTCCTTGTGTGGCAATCCCTGCAGATCTTCTCTGCTTCAACGTCCACTACCTTCGGCTTCCATCTTCTACCCTGTTTCATAATCTGTAGTTTCGAACCGATGGAAATAATCAATCTTGAAGGACCGTGGCTCCAATGCTTTTTCCTCTTAATTTCTATGTGTTGATACTCCACCCAACAGAAACTCAGTGGGGGATAGGAGGGGTGGCATCTACGGGTGATTCAGTTCGTGAATTATGATGGGGCACTTTTCTGTTAATCAGGGGGTGACGTTGATATATATAGTGGGAGTAATAGAGAGAGCCAGAATCTTATGGAGCAGGTGCTAAGGTGTCCAATTAGATGAATCCAAATTTTGTTTTAAGAAACAAACAAATATAAAAGCAGCCAGTGAGATGTGGATGTGACAGAAGACAAAGCCCGACCCAAATAATCTATAGTCCATATGCACCAAACAACTTAAAGCAATTTCTTGTAATGGCCGATCGGTTTTAAGACCAGTTATCGTCTAATAGAGCCCAAATGAACAACTGGAAATAACCAAAACCCCCACACGCCGCAAAAGGATAGCTCCCCATAAATACATCAACAGTTATCAGATAATTTAGCTGTAGAAGGAAAATCGCAGGGAAAAAACTATAAAAATGCTGCATGAGTTACTGTGAAAGGGAAAATATGTATTTCCTCTAAAGAAGGAGGGAAGATCCAAACTGGGCAAAAGAGAAATCCAGCGCGGCAAACACCAGCATTTAAACGTCGCATGAAATGAGACAGAAATACGGCAATAAGTTAGATTTAGTATTTCTAAAGCAACCCTCCGCTGCAAGAGAGTCCGCCCGTGAACTGGTGTGTCTCCCGGACTCCCACCCCGATCTCTTCATTCTGCATTAAAACAGAGCATGTGCTTTGCTTGGCTGAAGAATCAGAACCTATGTGATATATCGGTACATCGGTATATCGGCTTACGCCTTGACTGAAGCTATTTACAGAGCATTGCTTGTCTCAGACAGGGCCCACTTCCCAAAGAAAACTCTCCCTGGATTGGCTTGCTCTTATATTGACGATTTGGCATGGCCTTTTTTTCCCCCCCTTGGTGGCTGTTTTTTTTAAAAAAAAATTTGTTTGATAATAAAAATTATATTTCATCCCATCAAATTTAATATCATACAAAAATTGCCTGGTGAATTAGATAGAAGCAGGATGGCCGGGCGACAATACGGAGCGAGCTCTGGTTTGTCTGCTTTACCTTTTGGGTCGATAGTAAGATATTGATAATAGCTTGCCTTTTTCAAGCTAACTGTCCTGTAGTTGCGCTTGATTTTATATTACTCCTCCGGTCCTAATTATAAGACCCAATTGACTTATTTGAGGAGATTAAGGAAGTAAGTTAAGTTGGTTATTTATAATAAATAAGTGTTGTTATTCCTAAAATATCCTTGCTAATTAAGTATATTGGCTAAAACTATCATTATTAGAAGGATTATCTTGGAAAAAAATACATAAATATAAGAGAGAAAATAGATTGGGTCTTATAATTAGAACCAAATAAAAAGTCAAATTGGATCTTATAATAAGGATCGGAGGAGTAATTAACTAATTGTTTAGAGGAAAAAAGTCGCTGCTTTGTGGTTTGTCAGTATAATTTTTTTGGGCACCCATAGTTTTAAGTTGTAATGACGAGGGCCCGATGGCTGTGTCAACGTAATGAAAAATATAAAATAACAAAAAAATATTTGGATTTTCTCGTGACAAGTACACATACGGATGCTTATAAAAGTAGCGGTGGAAAGAAGACGACAGCATAAGGAAACAGCACAGGCCCTGGGGAGGATAAGGTACGAAAATGGAAAGGAAGCTGTCCCGCTCTGCAAAGAAGCTTGCGTCGTCTCCTATTCAAGAACTGTCATACCTTGCTCAGAGAAGCAACGCCATCAACCTCGCCGAGGGCTTTCCCGACTTCCCCGCTCCTTCCCATATAAAAAATGCTGCCATTTCCGCCATTGTTTCTGACTTCAACCAGTACAGGTGGATTTTCTGGAACTGTTGAAGTATTAAGCAAACATCTTGCTTACAATTATAAACGAAGTTACATCCAGCTAGTTTAGAATTTAGATTGCATGTGTGCTCGTTCATTTTGGATCCACACCTTGCTTTTCAGTTTTTCCGAACTTTGACAGATTTCACTGTTTCTAATTTGAGACATGTGCAAGGAATATGTGATCACCTTGCAAAGATAGTCAAGGAAATGCATGGTTTAGACATCAACCCTCTTACTGACGTGGCTATTTGTTGTGGTCAAACTGAAGCGTTCGCTGCAGCAATTTTTGCAAGTGTGTATTTTTTATTTGCTTCCTAAGCATCAAGACATGAGTTGATTAGATACTTTGGCCCCTTTTTCTTTAGTCCACCTCATCATTTTTCATCCTGTATTCCAATTAAAACAGTAATTGACCCGGGTGATGAGGTCATTGTGTTCGACCCTTCTTATGAAACTTATGAAGCTGGCATTCTTTTAGCTGGGGGAGTCCCGGTAAGATTTCAATCCATTTGGCAGCTATCATAAAGCCTGCAGTCTGGTGTTGCAGCTTCCCGTTTTGAACTGGCCGGTTTGAAACTTTGATTATATATCTATTTGTCTATTTGTTTTTGGTGAACTTTATGGGCATCACAGGTACACGTGCCACTTGACCCGCCTCAATGGACCATGGATCCAACCAAATTCCTGAACTCATTTACTGAAAGAACGAAAGCCATCGTGTTGAACAGGTTGGAAATTCCTTTAACTATATTCAACCTTAGATAGACTTTCATCCTCATCATAGAAGCCTCAAACTGGCTCTTTTAAGAATGAGACTGAGAGAATAGTGATTGAGTGAATCAAAATCCTGTCTCACGCCTAAACTGTAAAGACACATAATTTTTCCAGGTTTTTAGCAATGTGAACGTTAGAGTTGTGTCTTAAAATCCTTTCTATGTATTCTGCTGGCAAATTCATCATTCAGTCTTTCTTAATTTTTCATCTTCAAGAAAATGAAATCCGATTAGTTCTGATATGCTGTAATCGTTTGAGGCTAGTTGCAAACTTGCAATTCTTGGAGGAGTTTGGTGTGCTTTTAATGTGTTTGTTTCCCGTTTTGATGTTTTGCTCTTGCTTAAGTCTTCTTTTTCCGAAGTGTGTAAAGCACCTGAGAATAGACTGTAGTTGTAATGTTAACAAAAGATAATGAAAAGTTTCTTGGCTTCAAGGTGTTGAGCCGTAGGAAAACAACCCATATAAGATATTTTAAATTGATCAAAACTTGTCAGCATCATTGTGAACGTGAATGTTAAGAGGATGTGCTTATCCTCAGATTATGGTTTATGCCAATGCTAACATAAATTTCAAACAGCCCTCACAATCCAACTGGCAAAGTTTTCACAAGAGGCGAGCTAGAGGCTATTGCTGGAGCATGCTGCAGCCGAAATTGTTTGGCTGTAACAGATGAAGTATGATGCTCCTTTTCCTTATGCTGGTGGAACTTCAATTTGAGGGTTTCAGCAAGAAATTGTCTGGTGATATACAATGATTACTCATGTTCCATATGAATCTCCTGATAGTAATGCGGTCAAGTATAACACGAGGAAATATGCCTCGTAGCACAAATTTTTATTGTAGAGAGTAGAGACAAAGCGTTTGTGTCAAGTTATGGTGATGTGTGTTCATTCTATTATCAACATCCCAATTTTAACTTTGCATTGGCTTCCTTGCCTCATTCTTTCTTTATTGAATTGCTAGATAAGGAAAATTTATCTGGCTAACATGTACATAATGTTTTCTCCTGGTACTTTATGCAGGTATATGAGCATATAACATATGACAACGCAAAGCACATTTCCCTTGCCTCATTTTCAGGGATGCAAGAACGGACTGTTATAACCTCTTCTTTATCTAAAACTTATAGTGTCACAGGTTAATGCTGCATGAAACCAAACTGTACCTGCAATATATTCTTTTTAAAAACAAAATCACGAGTTTTTTTTAATGAGAATAACATAATTTTATTGACGGTCGAGCATCAAACAGGTTGGAGGGTTGGATGGGCTATTGCCCCGGCATTCATTGCATCTGCAATCAGAAATATTCATATCAGAACCACGGATTCTGCTCCTGCACCTTTCCAGGAAGCCGCTCTGACTGCTTTGAGTAGCCGCCCTGAGTACTTTGAGTCAATGAGAAAAGTAAGAGACCAAGATATGATTATTGTTCTTATAAATCATTAAATATGACCATGTTCCAAACAACTAGAATTTACATCATAATACAACATGAATTGTTTAGGGTCTGACGAAGATTTGTTCTGTTCACAATTTGTGAATAATGAGTCTTGCAATAGATTCTACAACCATATCGTTTCTATCTTTGTCATTCATCTTTTTGTGTTTCTTACTTTGTACTCAGGATTATGAATCAAAACGAGATTATATCATTAATTTGCTTGCTAGAGTTGGTTTAAAGATACAGTTTAAGCCTCAAGGTGCTTTCTTTTTATTTGCTGAGCTTCCTGACGATTACCCCCATTCTGATGTATGTGCATTCTCTGCTCTCCTGGTAAAATTAGTTTGAGAAATATTTAAACTACTATGGCCTGTTTGGGTGACCCTCAAAACCATGGTTTGGGAGGCAAAACCATGGTTTTGGTGAGACATCACCCAAACAGCATCAATTTTGGGCCAATAATCTGAAACCATGGTTTGGGCCGAAACCATGGTTTTGGAATCCAAAACCATGGTTTCAGGAAAAGTGAATTCATTCTGCTTCTGGCTCAAATTGGAGAGATGATTGTGCCTGTCAGAGTAGATCTCAATAATAATATGACTTTAACATTTCTCAATTATTTTTTTATAAACATATTTAACCTTATATCTTATAAACATATATATACATATTAATTATTTATTAATTACATTATCTTATGTATTATTAATTATGTTGGTAAAAAATATATTATTAACAATTTTATTCCTTCAAATTAAAATATATCATAAAATTTATCTTTTATATAATTATCATATTAACTTATGTTTTTTTTAGTAATTTGTATATATAAAAAGTACTTTTGATAACAACTATCCAAACACTCTCACTTCTCAGAATCACTTTTTTACAAAATCTATTCTTCACATAATCTATTTTTCCCAGAATCTATTCTCCAAAAGCTATTCTTCAAACCATGGTTTGGTTTCATCCAAACACACCATGATCTACTTTTAAAGTTTTCTTGGTTTTTAGGTAGAATTTGTTAAGAAACTAATAGTAGAAGCAGGGGTGGTGGCTGTACCAGGACAAGGATTTTTTCATCCCAACTCAGAAGCTTCTAACCAAGATCGTAATTACCAGAAGAGATACATCAGGTTTGCTTTTTGTAAGAACAGTGCCACTTTATCTGCTGTTGCAGAAAGATTTGGTAAGATTTTAGATGCTGGGGGACTTAGTGTACTTCATTGAATTGGTTGAAGAGATATTTGATGATAGGGTGGCACAAGTTAGATGGAGGACATGAGTGTGTAACTATAACTTATGACTGATCAAGGTTCCTCCTTCGATGTAAGATAATATTTACTAAAAGACCATGTGCAGTAAACAAGTGTTTGTCGAGGGGTAAACCGGTCTCTGGAATTTTTGTTTTAGTCCATATCGTGGGGCCCTTTTCAAGTTTTCATCCACAAGAAAGGCATTTGTTTATATAAAAAAACAAAACAAAATTATATGCACATGATTACGTATGCATTTTTTGGTTGTAGACATGTTCCATTGAAACAAGCATCATATTCCATTTCTAAACCTTTTACTATAAGCCTGTCGGTGATTTTTGTTGATGATCAATCGTCTCAGAACCACTTAAAATCGTGTCAGAACTACTTAAAATGGCAACTGGGCCGGTTAATTAGCATACAGTCGAGTTTAAATTCTACTAATTACTTCTTACATCCCTTGCGTGTTAGATTAAAATGCTTGAATAGAAATCTTTGTGTGAAATTCAACCAGAGAGAAGAGAGAAGGAGTTCAGTTATATGATTGTGGTTATGAGATCAAAGTAGGCTTCGAATTGCAGAAAATGTAATCCACATAGCATTGTTTCAAAGTCACGCAATCACTCCCCCCCCCCCCCAATCTTATCCTTCACTTTTTATGTTACTTAAAATGCTACTGGACTGCGACAAGTCGAGGGTGTCCAACTAGGAAGTCATTTTCCAAAGAATTTTTAAAGGTGAAATTTGGAAATTTGTTTTTAATTATCTGTGTTTGAATTTTACTTTAATGATATGAAAAATACGCTTCCATTGAACTTTCCAGTAATGGCAGGATGTTTAAATCTATTCTCTAGATCTTGAAATGGCATATAACTTGTAAAAGAAAAGGCAACACAAGCTTCTGATCAGTGTGCTACTAAAATAAGATTTGATAATAAATGAACGTGTTCGCATGAGATGAGGGAATTGGTATATTATGTTTCTTGTGGCGGAAGTGAATCCAAAAAAAGAAACAAATGAGCTGGTAAAGAACCCTAGGGAGTAGGGATCTAGTAGCTGATCCCTTTTGTTTCAGTCTTTCAACATCTTTAAATCTAGCTTGTCACTCATATTTGATCATTACGCCCAATCCACTTCCTTTTTCCTCTTTTTCACGCACTATATAAGACCAGCCGGCTGTCTACTTGCTGCAATGCCATTTGCTTCTGCATTGTCGTCAGAAAAATGGCAAGTGAGAAAGGCAATGTGGAGTTCTCAGACACCGCAGGTTTCAACGGCCAAGACGTTCCCGTTCAACAATCATCAGACAAAAGATACCATGAGAATTGCCACCTGGGAAAAGCACTAGCATACAGGGCGGTTTATGGTTGTGGCGGAGGAAGCAGCAGAAACACGAGAGGCAATGATGGCGCCAGAATGCCACCGAGCAGGCTCAGCAAGGTCTCCTTGTCTTCCGACCAAACACACAAGTAGCCAAAAATGCTAACCTTTGTTCTTCACACATACCATATTTTACTTCCAACAGATACTTGTGTACTCTCGACAAGTAATTCTCCCTTTGTGCTATGCGTACTTATACAGTGAGTGTGATGCAGGAATGCACTCGTAATATTAAACCGCCTGTATAGTAAACGTCATTGTTGTTTACGTGCTTATCGTTGATATTTAAACTTGGGCCTCGCACTTTGTCCAAATCTTAAGTCCCTTGTAGCCTTTTCTTTTGTAACGAGACTGATCCTATGTTTGAATGGAAAGGAAATTAAAGAGGGAAAAAAAATACTAGGAGAAAAATGTTCAGATATAGTAATTTTTTTTAACTGTTTTTGAAAGTTTTTCTTTCTAGTATTTTCTCGTTCTTATTTTCTTTTTACTTTTCCCTCCCTTCAAACATAGCCTAACTAACGGTTTCGCCGCTCAATTCAGAAACTGAATCCTTACCCAACCCCCTCCCCCAAAACAAACCACACATCTCAACAAAAAACTTGGGAGACCAACAATTATATTAATTCAAAAAAAAAAGGGGAAAAAACCTTGAACCTTCATTGTTGAGCTTAGTGCTGCGACAATGTGGTGTGAAATTAACGAATGAATAGACTTGTAGGATTCTCAAATAGAACTAGGCTTTATATTAAATTCCAGTTAGCGATGCTTCAATGAGATTCTCATCTAACCAACAGGGGTTGAGTCTAGTGGAAGGGACTAGTCTTTCATAATGTGGCGAACCAATGTTTGAATCATTATTGGAAGAGGTGCCCACATTTAGCACCCGATAGTGTCTCGAATAGGATTGTCTCCAATAAAAAGATACTTATGCTTTAGCCCAAAAAAAAAACTCTCGTCTGGGGCCCATCAAACTCCTTGATCGATTGACCCAGCAACGAACAATTTATATTCTTTATTTTCTTAAACCCACACCCGATTTGTATTAGAAAGAACAAAAAAAACCGCACCCAACGACAGACAAGTTAAGAACTAGGACGTCAAGTTTTCTTCTTTTCTCTGCTGATTTGTTTGTTTGAAGAAATCCTGTAGACTTTTTTTTGGGGGGGGGGGGTGCGTCTCCTGAAGGTCGAATTTGAAGTTGGATTCCACTGTAACTATTAAATCTCTCACCATTAACCAATTATTATTTTGATACAGATCGAAATTTCAATGTTCAGTTATTATATCTATCTCACTAACTTCTAAATCAATCCAAAAGTACAGAAAACATTGAAAAATAAAAATTGAAGTACATGAAATTGAATAGGATGCGCCAAAAAAATGAATGGTAGTTTAAAAATAGTCGTCAATGGCATCCATAGCACATCAATAGGATAATGGAACCAATTATTCTCCACGAATTTTATATATTACATTGATGGATACTGACAGTATAAGAGAGATGTTAACTTAAGGCCCGTTTGAAACAGCAACTTATAAATAGCTTTTTAATAGTGATTTATAAAATATGAGACAAGTATGTGAGAGGAATTCTATCTCGACTTATGTAAAATTGCCAAATGGAGCCTTGAAAAGCTAAGTATAGGAAGGAAAATTTCAAACAGTCCCGGGGCAGAAAAAAGCCTGCGAGTATCTAGTTATTTGTTGACAAAAACGAAGGCTTAATCTAATAATTAAGAGAGCGGGAGCTGACAGAAAAGTGAAATGCAGAGTCAGGGATAGGCAGAGGAGAACGTGGAGTGGGGCATTGGATGTACGTAGATGTTCCCATGCATGCCCCGTGAAGTCGGCTTTTTGGCTGTTGATCAGAGGCGCATATCACAGCAACAACGCACATTGGCTCGAACTTGAGCCTCTGTATTCTGTAAGCAGACCACTCACTCTCTGTCTTCCGGTGACTTCCCCCAGTACGGTGGGCCTTATTGAGCCACCGATCATGTCTCAGTGTATCTCCTCGTCATCCTCAAATTTCCTAAATTCGACCCGACTCATAAAAATACAACCCCACATGCACATGTTCCTTCCTACGATCACTCGCGGTGATGTGAATTTATTACCGTTCTTTGATTCTTCGACTGATACTACTATCCAACTTGAGAAATCGCAAGGTTTTAATAATATAATATTCCTGCCTCCAGATTCAAAGCTGAGCTTCAGCTCATCACACTTGCGTCTATATAATATGATATAATACTCCCAGTTAATTCATGCTCTTATATATTCACATGCAAGAAGGAGAAATGATTCCGTACTCTGCAGTTAAAAAAATATTGCTAACCTTGATAGAGCTAAACAGCAATTTAGCTATGCGTTAACGTGACCCCAGTCATGGATAGGTGAAAATTCTGAAGCGTACGTCGAAGGGTTTCATGATCGTGACTAATCTCAGAGTCTCGTGGAATCTTTGATTGGCTATGCGTTACGTTGGGGTGCGAGTTAGCGTTTGAAACTGAACACATGTCCTTGAAATCTGTCAACGTACGTAAGGAAGAGGTCATCATGGTTGTACATTAGAATACATATAAATAGAATAATACACAGCAATGACTGATTATAATTGTAGGACTATAGCCCCACTTCAGCACCAAAACTGTTCGGTTTTGCAGTAACAGAAGCCCAGTAAAAACGGAAAAGGAAGGAAATGCGGGAGCACGTACAGTCATTGGCGAACTCAAAGATCAAGGCGCCGAAGAGTTCGTTTCCAAATTAAACCAGAAAGTGCAGTAATTAGGAATGACATGGTATTCTTGTTTGCACACGCTCCCCCCCGTCTTCAACTCTATTGGTATTAGAGAAAGGCATCGAATGCGTAATGACATGTACGAGAAGGACGACGTATGGTATGCCCCATTGGCCCATTCAAACAGGACGCTCATCATTCATTCCCCCCACCCTTTTTCTTGCAGTGGTTCCGCTTCAAATCCTCGCAGGCCCACAAAGTGAAATACAGGTTTTAAAGTTTGATATATGGTTGGGAGGGGAGGAAGCGGAGGATGGGACAAATAATAATCTCCAGCAACCCAATGACTAATTTAGTCTTGGCTCTGGGTTGTCCCTCCGCTATGAAAATCCTGCTTTTTGAACTTTTTGAGGGCACCTGACGATCAGTGATGATCGCGGTGTGCTTTCTTACATGCTTTCCAGGGCCTCTTGGCTGGCTCTTCTCGATGTTCGCCGGCCAGACTTCTATTGGTCAAGAACTCAGCAAAACATTCCTCAATCATTCTTTATTGCTATTATTAATTGCAATATATAATACTACTCTCTTTCCCTAAAAAAGGTTCTAAATAATGATGCCATGCACCATGACCATAACCGACAAAGGCGTCGATTTTCTCGTTGGCAGAAGGCGAGGACCTGTCCACCAAGCCAAAACCCTCAAACTCAGACAGTTTTTGCCAGTAGCCTTTCAAAATGGCTTCTCCTTTTTCTTTTCTTTAAGATTCAATAAAAACAAACTGAAACGCTCCTCCTTTGTTTAACTCCAAATTCCCAGCGCCGCACTCACCCCTCTCACAACTTCCGAGCCATTTGCCCATTTCTCCCTCAAGACACGTTTCCTTGCCTTCCTTTCATTATATGCTTTCCCCATTCTGCCCCTTCCCTTCTCGAAACCCTAACCTCATTCCGTCTCATTAAATACCACCTCCGTGCCTCCTCCCTCCCTCTCCGACTCTTTCCTTCCCTCGCGCCATTGATTCCGATCAGCGCCATGGAAGGGTCCGGATCGGGTCATCGCCCGTACGGCATCGTCAGCGGCAAAAGCTACAGTTCCAACGGCGTCTACACGGGACGACCGGGCTCCCCCGGTGGGGTGTCGGTTCCGGGAAGTGCGAACCGGGGGAGCCAGAGCACACCGAAGCCGTGGGGACTCAAGGATCCGGAGGCAAAGAGGAAGAAGAGGATTGCCAAGTATAAGGTTTACACTGTTGAAGGTAAGGTGAAGACATCGCTCAGGAAGGGGCTCCGGTGGATCAAGGACAAGTGTTCTCAGATCGTCCATGGCTACTGAGGCGTTCCATTTGGTCCAGCCATGCCACGTCAAGCCAGCATTTTGTTTGTCTCTAATTCATGCTGATGTGGCAACAATTCAAAGATATAGGACTATATTGTAAAAATCCCCTGACCTGACTCTCCCCATCACTTTTGGTTTTGACACTTCCTCATTTCATGTTCATGGTTTGTCCGTTTTAATCAAACCATCGTGGATGATTGAGAAACTGGAGAGCCGTCTGGGTTTGGTGATCCTTCATTTCGGATTCACAAATTAAAAGCATCCGCTCCGGTCTGATCCCTTCATGCTTCTGTCTGGCGAACTACTCTCTCTGTTTCCACTTACAACCATTCTCAAAATACTCTCGCTCGTCACACCTTTGATTTAGATCATTCTTGCACTTGCGCGCCATTATTGTCGTTTTTTCAACCAAAACACTGTCGTTATTTGTATATAATGTGCTTGGGCGTGATTCAGGGTTAACTCAAATTGATTCAAAATTTAACTAAGCATTATTTCAAAAATAAAAAATAAAAATAACTAAGCAGTGGGGCTAGAATGTTGCAATATTTGATAATTGTATACTGTGTAAATACAATTAATTGATGTTATTTAATTATTGCCTACCTTCAAATTACGTAGTGCCGTAATTTTTTATTTCTCAAAATTAATCCCCCGTGAATTACCATAGGTAAGGATTATTCTAGTTGATTATCGGCAATAATGAAAGCAACTGCAACAAAAACTCCATTTTTAAGCCAATATGTTGGATTGGCTCGCCACACGTTCTCATGTCAAGTTTCAACCACTGCGAAGAATCAGACGAATGGAACAAAAAAGAGCGATATTTTTTGGATCTTAAATATAAAAACTTATTTGATTATAATATAATTTTACACTATAAAATGAATTACACTACAAGTAGCATATTTAGGAGCGGAGGTGATATGGAAAATAAGCAGATCTGTAGATGGTGGAAGTTTTATTTTTTTAAAAATAATGGAAACGGAGCATCAAAACCTCAAGAGTTACAGAAGTTTTAATTTTTTATTTTGCCAAAAATGAAGAATCATCAGGCTATTAATAGTTATGTGTCACTTTTTCAATTTAAAAAGCTCACTTATTATTTTATTTACAGCAGATTCGTTTATCATTATTGGGTTTCTTTTTTTGGGGGGTACATTGTGAATTTCTGATGGCTACGTTAACTATTAAGTGGCCAGAAATTCGATATTGGGCTGGAAACTTATTTCCGGCCCAGTCCAAGTGTGGCGGGGGTGATGAGCCCACCGAATCGGCAATGAAGTTGGGGCTTCAGCGAGCGGGAGAAAAAGCCGCAGCCCGGAATCCTCGCTTTGTGAAAACGAGCTCCACTGCCTCTTCGCAAGCTACCAGTACTAAATAAACAATAAATTAAGATAACGAAGAGTCTGGGGTTTATATGATTGAAGCTTGATACTGCCTCGCCTAACAGGAAACCGCGCGGTCATGCAAATTACGCCTCAAGCCTCTCTTGTCTGCGCTCCCCATGTGCATTCCCGTTGACCTCACATAGTCAATCCCCACTTCTATCCTCTGCTCTTCTCTCATTATTTCTAATCCTGATGGCCAGTGCGAACACGCATACATGAAAACCTGTTCACATGCAGATCAGACACTGATTCCTCCCTGAATAACAAAACTAAATTAAAAGCAAGGACCAACTTAATTTATTTATAAGTTTCACAAGCACAACACTCAAACGGCAATCACACGGTTTCGGAGAAGGGTAGGTAAACCAATGAGGACGCGCCACGAGAGCACGTCCCTTCCATGATTCAACGAAATTGGCTTTTTAATTGGCAGCTTCGGATCCCCTTTCCGCGGGGCTCAGATTAAGCAAACGTTTGCTGGCGCAAAGTCCGTCATCTTTTTCCCCTCTCATGATTGACATCTCGTAACTACATTCCAACAACATCCAACCATAGGCAGCCTTCCCTCCAGTGGGCGTGGGTCCCCCCACTCCCCAATCCTGACCAAAATGACCCTCCCTTTCTGGTTCTCGTCGTTTATCAGCTTATCACTCACTCAATCATCAAACCGAGCAGTGCTTTGGATGTTAGAAATTGCGCCCAAAGATTTGCTCAAATCCTACATAAAGGCAAGACTAGGAAATGTGGATATCAATTCCTCAGGCTTTGATAAATACCAGAACGGATCATGTTTTGGATATTAGCTGTAGACCATACACTGACAGCAAGCTCATGAAATCAACAGAGAGGAAACGAGGGGCAGGATAGGAAGCCCACAAAGAAGTCCAGCTTGATCCGGCCGCGTACAGGCCACAGCAGTGTGTACATGTCACTAAACAAGTTGGCACCGCCCGTAGCTCACATTTCTGTACCAAATTTACCATGTTACCCCTCATTCACGCCGCGTCCAAAATTCCCATCCCCCCTTATAAACCACCTCGTCTCTTGCCACTCCCTCCATCATCATTCATTCATTCATTCATTCATTCATTCATTCATCAACGCCTCTGCTCAGAGTTACGGGCAAGCTTCTCGGACATTGATTTTCACAGTCCTCTCCTGAGTTTCGCTGTTTCATAATGGGCATTGAGAACCATAACGGTGCTCACAGAGCGTGGAAGATATTGCGGCTGGCTCTTCTCTGGGCTCGCAAAGGTGGGGTCTTCAAGCGCAGGCTCATGACCGAGATGCGTCTTCTTCCCAAGTACTTGAGACGTCTCACCCATACCACACCGCCCAGCCACATTTATTACTGCGAACGCGAGCTCTCCTTCGATAAGACCCCTATGTTCAATCGTCCCTCCTCCTTGCGCTTCCATTTGCCTCACATCCCTTGCATCAATCCACATGTTGATTTTGAATATGACGGAGACGATGATCTCCGCTATGATAATGGTGAAGACAGCGATGAACAATACCGTTACCGAGAATGTGAAGACGACGACGACCAAGGGGTTGATGTGCGAGCTGAGGAGTTCATTGCCAAATTCTACCAGCAGATGAAGCTCCAGAGACAGATTTCTTACCTACAGTACAATGAAACGCCCACCAGACTCGGTTGTTGACGTTGATTCTTTTGCATTGCGCGGCATTCATTTGTTCCTCCGAAATTGAAGTCCGCACATTTTGCGGTGAGTTTTGTAGATGCCATGAGCTACGGCGGAGTTCCAGTATTTACATTTCATTTTTTTGGCAATGTTTATATTTCATGTCACAGTCAAATAAATATCAACCTTCCAATTTTGAATTCTTTTCAAAAAGAATGTGCCGTTCGCGTTGTTATGATCGTATTACTGCATTTTCTTTGGGTAGATGTAGAGAGCCTTTACACTTATTCTATGATAAATCTACTGCTTTTACACTTTTATGCTGTACAAAGTAAATGTTAAATGAATCGTATCACAAGCGCAAAAACACTTATTTGAAGCAGATCTAAACCTTACCATTGCTATTATTTTCTAGATTAGTGAGACAGCAATTTAAAATGGAAGTTAAATCAATACAAAATTCTCCGAATTTCTAAGATTGGACCAAATACGAGTTGATTGTACGATCTGAATCTTCATATTGTTTAACAAATTTACATGATACAAACAGATGGAAAATGCGAGGTCAATATTTTAAAAATTGCGTCCGCGTGCAGACATACCAAGAATGCAGCAAATAAGGACAGCAGATCAGATAATCTGGCACATGAAATGAACAGGGAGTAAATCGTACATATAGAACAAGGGAGGATTTTGAGGTAAACTTTGAACCTATAATGAACATCCTGGGAGTCCAGCAACCAATACCAGAGCTCTGTTTTGCGTTACATCAGAATCAAAAGATCCTAAAGGCAGTCTAATGATTAGAATATTGAACCGTAGCTCTGAAAGTAAAAGAGACGTCCAAATAACATTACCATGGACACGCCTTTGAAACCAGCCAAAACGAATGTGGAGCAGCCGCACATATGCTCGACTGCGGGGATTCCCTTCATTCCGGGTTTTCTTTTTCTTTTTCTTCTCTTTTTTCCAAAAAATACATAATATCCTAACAAAACTAGGGCATTGTCAAAATAGCAGAAGATTGTGCGTTAACTTCCATTTTCATAGCCACTGATGTGGGCTTCCAACTTCCCTGTTGCCGCCAAAATCAGACCTGCAGGTACAACACTAGATTAAGAATTGGCCATAATGAAATAATCAGTTGGTTTTCACATGACAACTGTTTGAGTTTATTACTTCAGGTTAGCAATTATTAACTCACAGGATGCACAAGAATCAGTTGCTCTAAAGATTAATGACCAACAAGTACCTAGAAATAAAGCAGAGGGTTTAGCAGGCCGTGATTTAAATTCAGGATGAAATTGCACGCCTACATAGAATGGATGACTTGGAAGCTCTAGGATCTGCTCAAAAGAAAGGATTCCACCATCATTTCATATCACAAAAATCCAGGACTGCAGAACACTCGTTCAGTTAGAGGAGTGTGTGCCTCGGGGAACTGCCTTTTCATATAAATCGCTGGCCTGCTATAGTACTGCATTTCATGTTGGGAAATGTTGGCCCCCCAAACACACACACCAATTCCATGGAACAAAACAATTATAGGAAGACAAGCGGGGATAACAAACGCAATATAATTAATTACCATCGCTTCTCATCCAAAACAACATCCAATTATAAAACTTACCTCCATTCGCTTTCCACTTTCATCCCTTCCAACAAATGTTAGCCCAGCTTCTTCTAGTGTTCCAATAACATCTGGATTTACCTGCATTATGACATCGCTGAATTAATATTCACAAGCCACACACGTCATACACTTTGACAATAAAAGCCAACCTCATATCTATGCCGATGCCGCTCATCCACATGCTGTGAGGTGTGGTACCTGATGTTTAGGAACACATAATGTTAGCAAGCCTAGAAAAGGGTGCTGAAAACATTTTACTCTCACAATATGGGTAAAAAAAGACGCATATACTTTAGCAAATTCAGCTTAGAAGTATGTTTTATGCCCTTTCTTTAATCCATGAAATGGGCTAAATTTATGGTTAAAACAGCAGAGAGTGATGGAAAGCACAACATACAGCTTGGAAGTAATACAATCAGGTGTCTGAAATAGTGTTTTACGAGATCCTAGCCTCATGGTGCTTCCCATGTGTGTTCGTGAACCCTGCATGCGAACATGTAATATGATGACATCCATTGACTAACTATGCTAGTGAGTAGTAACTAGGAATATTTTTGAAAATGGCAGAAGCGAGAAAAGGGTGAACCAATGTGTACCTCAGGCATGAAAATCACAACAGGATTTGGCGTTTGGGCATCAAACTCTACACTGTTAGCCCTTTCCCAACCCAACACCTAAGAACCACCGTTAAATTACAATATGAAAACATATGGTAGAACAGAACCAAACACAGCATATACAAAAATATCACTCACCGATCTTGCAAACTCAATCACAGCAATCTGCATTCCCAAGCAAATTCCCAAATATGGAACATTGTTCTCTCTGGCATATTTGGCAGCTAGCATCATACCCCTCACACCACGATCTCCAAATCCACCAGGAACCAAGACACAAGCTGCCCTCTGCAAGTATCAATTTCCAAGAACAGCTGTGACTTGAGACTCAGATATCATATACCTCTTCCCTAATTCTTTTAAACTCAATTTCAAAGGCAGCCCAACCGGTCTAACAAAGTCAAAAACTCACACCAAAATAGAAGTTCAAACAAAATAAAGACCCTTACGCCTTAGCATTTGCCAGTCTTAACATTTACCAGGAATCAAGTAACACCTCAGAAAATAGTATCAAAACGAAGCATATAAACGTCATTGCAGGAAGAGAAAGGGAGGCAGAGAGGGGAAATAATATATGAAAGTAAAGCTTACCCTCAGAGTCTCCCATGCAGCAGCATAAGCTTCTGGTGTCTAAACCAGTGAAATCAAAAGTAAATAAAGCTGGCTACATGCAGAGTGACGGTTAACAAAATATTTCCAGATTCCATTTGAAAGAAATCATTACCGATTCTGCACTATCATCTTCAAGGTCAGATGCTGCAATCCAATCAATTGATGGCCTCAATGAGCACGCAATGCAAGCATGCAGAAGAGCCTGTAAGCAGGTCAGGCATAACAAAGACTATTTACACACTGCAATTACACAAGAGAACAAGAAACTTGATAGTCCATTCTATGAATCATAGCATGTGGATGGCAAAAGTGAAAACTCATTTCCCCCAAAATCACCATGCCCAAATCCAAGAAGATTAGCCAACACTGTCTAAAGTTTAGAGGATATTAAAGAAAGCTTTTATACTCCTATAGGAAACAATAATTTAATTAATATGGTCAGGAAGAGATGACATCAACTGTACATCCCTTCATGGGAAGAATCAGAATTAAAATTAAAAGTATATATATAATAAGTAGATCCTTGAATACTATAATCGCACCATCAAGCAGTCCATAAGTTATTCTATTTAAATTAGTTTGGCAGCTAAATAAACAAGCTAAAATCCAAACCTCGAATTATTTACATTTTCTTGCTCATCTTAAAAAAAATAAATAAATAAATAAAAGCTACAACACACCTTTATAACAGATAAATATGAATCTGTTAGGCCAACGTATTTCCCCACCATCGCAATTCTCACCTGTAAATGTCATAATGCTCTTATTCTTATGCACAATATGATATAAAATACATTCAAAAAGAGCATTGCAAACTCATCATCATGGCACTAACAGAATCAGTAAGATTATCATAAGTCTCAGCCATCTTCGTCCAACTCCTCAAGTCAGGAGGCATAGCAATGCTGAAACAAAACATTAGAATGAAATAAATAAGCACTGTCTGTCATCAAATTGATATCCCAAAGAAAATGAAAACCTTAGCTTTGTGTAGTGTCAATGAAGTGATTAAGAACAAATCTTGCATGAGATGCCATAGTGTCATCAACTATAATCACAATGATGTATATATCTCATCTGACCCTGGTTAATTGACGAAAAATCAGACTAGGATATATTGCTTTGGCTTTAACGGCAACAGACATAAAGGGCAATGGAAGACTCACCTGAGTAGGTCAAGCTGCTTCAGAATTGAATGGTGCGCATTTTGGTTCTGAAAGTATCAGCCAATCATAAAGTAGATAATAAGACAGTATATACATAATCCAGCCAAGAGTCAGTATAGCCAAAGAAAAAAAAAAAATCATAGACAGCCCACCCTAAGTAAGAGAGGAATGTGCCAAATGTTTGGGACATCATGAATATTTAGAATATTCTCAATCTGTGGAGAACACACAAAAACTCTAAGATCAGTAACCTTCTTTTAAGGCCAGGATAAGATCAATAACTAAGAAAATGAACCCTGCTTGGCAAATGGCCAACACCAAGCACCGAGCTAAATTCACCAACAACTTACTGGAACATGGCAAAACCGTGAGAGTTTGTCCTTCGTATTATCCAAAAGAGGCTGCCACATTCAATATCAAAATATTTTACTTACTACAGAGAGATAATTGACAAACTGAACAATGCAGTTCAAAAGCACAAAAGACTCCACACCAGTTCTTCTGACAACAAAAATAAGCATACGGAAATAAAATATATCACTGCAGTCTAATGAAAGAACTGATGAGGCAATAAGAATTTTGAACAAACAAGATCGAGCCGTCATCTAATCCTTTTCTAAACTATGTACATGCACCAATTTTGAAGAGCAAGTAAAACGGTCAATGGACAAATAAAACAGAAGCATTAAATGTTTAAAATCTACATCTGAAATGAAAGTTATAGTTTTCATCAACTAAATATAAACTAAAGCTATCTAGAAGGCCCAAATAATAAACACCTTTACAGCTTGTCTATGTTTAAACCGCATGAAGGGAACAGAAGTGTTACCCTATGTTTCCCAGAGAAATGTCATTTAAGCTCATTTAGGTAATAATTGGCGTGGTAACAAACCTCAGCAGATCGACAAGCTAAAAGGTGAGGAGTCAAACCCAATGCTCTCAGTTCCCTGACACTGTGTTGCGTAGGTTTTGTTTTCTAGAACCAAAAATGTAGGAGCCAAAAAGAGAAAAATAAGTAATTAATACTAATAGTGGGCAACTATAAAGCACAGGCAATTAAATGTTACTTGTTCTCCCACAACACCCAGCACTGGTATTAGGCTAACATGGATGAGACAGAAGTTGTCAGACCCTGCGTACAGTAACCAACGAATCCATAGTTATACTTAGTTTTGACAAATAAATCCAGGGCTCAAAGTAGCGCGAGTAAAGTAAGTTGCTGCACAAGTGACGCTAATTTACAAGCAACTTATACAATGAACTTACCAACAGAAAAGGACAATTGCCGCAAAGCCTCAATAAACGGCATAGATTCAATGTCACCTGTAAAAACAAAAATATATACTCCCACGTGATGAATTGACCTGGACAACATGGATGAAAAAGAAGCATCTCTACTCTACAAAAATCTTACCCACAGTGCCTCCAAGCTCAATCACACAAACATCTGCTGGCCCCTCCTTCCCATCCACGGGAATCACAGCAACTGACTCAATCCAATCTTTTATGGCATCTGTGATGTGTGGTACTACCTGTATCAACATCCCCAAAACTTTGAAATTTACACCTCATCCATACAATAAGAGAATGTAAGCAACACAAAATAGGAATTATAAAATGTGTATCACCTGAACAGTTTTTCCGAGGTAATCACCCCTGCGTTCCTTCTCGAGAACAGACTGAGCAGAAAGCACAGATGATGGTTTTATGAAAGCATGGATTAATTTCATTTTACAGTCCAGTACTCATTCATGGAAGATATAAAAGCACCTGGTATATTTTTCCAGTGGTGATATTGTTATTCTTTGTAAGTGTGACATCTAGGAAGCGCTCATAATTTCCCAAATCCAGATCAACCTTCGAAGCCAAGCAACAAAGGTAAAAAAAAAATTAGTCGATATTATATCACCTTAGTACATTCAGGCACGAAAAGATGTATTGTGGAAGGAAGGAAACCTCTCCACCATCGTCAAGAACAAAAACTTCCCCATGCTCAAAAGGAGACATGGTACCGGCATCTATGTTCAGGTATGGATCTGCAAATAGTACAGAGAACAGATGCATGAAGAAGTTGCAAATTATTTGATTTGCTCATATATCCCTATGGGGAAACAATCAAATAATGGGAATTTTAGAAAGAAGAGCAGACATAAGCAAACAGTACATACGGAACGGCCTTGACAGGAAACCAATCGAATAAAAGTTTAAGTACCCTGAAGCATAAACTACATACAGAACGTCCTCAATAAGCACTCGCACATTACAGGAAGGTAGGAGTAGGAGACCAAGATTATTCAAGAAAAGAGACACCCCAGAAAATCATATTGACCACAGGTTATAAAAACACTAACGTTCAGTCACGCTAAAAAAGGAAGAGGAGGAGGAGGAGGAGGAGGAAGGGATTCAAACTAATCAAAATACCAAAGAAGGCAATATTCAAAACGAAAGAACTGTATTGCAAGAAATGACAGAACAATAAATAATGAGAAGGAGAAGGAGGCAAAGAACCAATTTTGATGGAAGTGACGCGAAGACCACAGGCCTTGAGCACGACCCCTATGCTGCTCGCCGTCACGCCCTTGCCCAGGCCACTCACAACTCCACCGGTGATCAACACGTACTTCATTATCAGAGGTGCAGTGTGTTGTATACGTTGCTGTACAGAATTGAGACCAAAATGCTTGTGTTTATATCAGAGCGGGAAGGTGGAAGTTGATAACGGGAAAGCAGAAAAGTCAGCAACACTCCCCCGGCCGGGTTGCTGAAGCTGAAGCCGAAGTCGGAGGTCCCTTTCTAATCTAATCCAATTAAAATTAAAAATAAAACCTAAAAAGAAAAAACCTAATTAAAAAATGGTCTTCCCAAATCCTGCCTTCACCTACGTTTTGAGAATTTAGACCGTCTTTTTTGGTGGCTTCCTGCTTACAACTGTCCATTTCGCTCCTCTTTCCGCCGAATCATAGCGCGACATGTCAACTTGAGCCTTTGGTCCGTGCTGCACGCTGATGATCCCATTTTGAGCCTTCATAGTTTGATTTTTTTTTTTTTTGACCAGAGAGCCTTCATAGTTTGATAATGCTTGAACGTAAAATTAATGACATCAAATACTATTAAATGGGGTAAAAAATGTTAGGCTTACTTATTCTCTATCGCATTTAACTAAATTTAATTATATTTTTAGTTAAGGGTACAGGTACATGATTGAAATAAGAAGACCAACCAGTTTTTAGCAGGGGTGCGAAAAGTTTACCTGATATGACAGGTTTTGCCATCATAAATTTATTAATCAGGACCGTAAGATGAATCCGCAGCATAAACTCCTAAAAACACCTTTTCGGCCTCTTAAGAGCGATTCGCTGTACTTTTTCTTCCATGCTTTTTTCCCAGATAAATAGACAAATTATATTCCTTTGCACCGTAAGATCCCCTCTACTTTGTGGCTTTTTGCTTATTGGAGGAGTAAGGTATTCCATTGTTTCCTTTATATCGATATTGGGTCGGAATCATCATTACAGACCATTCGTCGCCCCATTGTTACTATTCCCCTCCCTAGAAAATAGGAAGCATCTATATCCCAAAAAATAAACAAAATAAAAAAAGAAAGAACATATAAAGCAAATTTTATTTAAAAAACCGCAATGTGAATACTATTCGCTTATTTTAAGGGAGAATTACAATCAAGTCCCATATAAGAGAAATAACTACTAAAAAGTCTAATAACAATCTGAGCAGCTTGTAACAACAAATTCTATAATAGAAAATAACAACCTCTAGAATTTATTTTGTAATTTTTTTTTTGTATGGGACCTTATTATAATTTTCTTTTATTTTAAACTCTTAGTCCTGGCAAACATGGGCTCATAATTTGTTTTTTTTTAAAATCTAAAAGAACAATTTTGTCAACGGGAGTGCAAAAGTCATTCTGCGGGCTATTCCTGGAGTATTTTTGTCTTTTTTAATAATTCCTGGAGGCAGGAGACATATTTTCCACCAGTATGATATGCTTTGAACAAATTACAGCATGAAGGACAGAATTAGAGAAAATGAAAGTTAAGTCAATAATCAAATCACACAGTAATACTCCTCCGGTCCTAATTATAAGACCCAATTGACTTATTTGAGGAGATTAAGGAAGTAAGTTAAGTTGGTTATTTATAATAAATAAGTGTTGTCATTCCTAAAATATCCTTGCTAATTAAGTATATTGGCTAAAACTATCATTATTAGAAGGATTATCGTGAAAAAAAAATGCATAAATATAAGAGACAAAATGGATTGGGTCTTATAATTAGGACCAAATAAAAGTCAAATTGGGTCTTATAATAAGGACCGGACGAGTATTCACTTATTTTAGCTTCCAATGACGCGTTGATTCGCGTACTTGATGTTTACTGAGTATGGGCGGCAAACGGTCGATAAACCCCGGTGCCCATGGGTGTCGTGTCATGTTTGTGCTCGTTCATGTTTTATAATAAACACGACACGGCTGCACGATTGAAAACGACACCTATCAATTTGCGAGAGAACGTAAGCATATAAAGCATCAATTTGCGACGTTGGAAAAGCGTATTTGTCGGGAAAAGTTTCTTCCGATTCAATAAAAATTAGTCTTTCTGAGTTATGCTAATTGATGATATGTAATTATGTTATTGTGGTGCCACTTGCCGCGGTTCTGTAGAAATAAAGCAACAACGGGTGCAGCGGCAGCACACAAACTCCGCATATATAAACAAATCTAAATCCACTTTTTTAGGTTTTTCGATACTACCTCTGTTTCTTTGTTTGTCTACTAGAAACAAAGAGGAACTTATAATTAAAAGTAATTATCTGACCAACCCCGAATCCTGGTGTAACTTAACAAGGGAGACAAAAATGCAGAAAACGAGAAATTTGAGAGCGCTCCAGCTGGGAAACGCAGCCAAGCTGTGCCTCTGCATTCATTGATATTCGCTGCCGGACTGTGATGTCCTCTTCCCAAAAAAACATTTATCACACACAGAGCCCAGAGATTCAGCGCCCTTCAAGCCGGTCCTGTTTTGAAGACTCCATTCTTCTTCTTCTTCTTCTTTTAATAATTTTTTTAAAAAGTAAAAGTTTCGTATTACTTGGTTATAACATGGCGGGCCAGATGGCTATTTAGCAAGTTGCATGTAAAAGTCAGGCACTGCAGATAGACAGGCAGGGTGTAATTATAAATTATGACGTCAAATTAAAGAAAGCGACCTGCCCAGTGCCCACTAGCATAAGGATAAGGGAACTTTGGATTGTCTCCCAAAATTTAAATCATGTCTTCACAGAACTAACTGTTGCGCCGATTAATTTGCACACCGGGAAAATCATAAGGGCTGGAATATTAGCGCGTCGTTGATGGCCGCTCTTATATAGCTCATTTGGAATTATAATTATAAGTACCTTTTACATAAATCAAGATAAAATTTCTATTTATCTCATGTTTCAAGTTATAACATGCGCAGATGAAAGTTTTATGTTATACCTTGCACAGTTTGGTCCGTGTCATCATTATTAAAGGGAGTTATAAAGCGACATGCTGACATGAGAATGTGTTCGTTCGTCACCCGGAAATCTTCCAAAACATTAATAAATTCGGTCGGTTGATGCATGCCACTCTTCTGTCACGCGAATGTCGACAGTATGTTTTTCTTCAGAGCAAATTCGTCTGCCTTCGCTGGGTTCACCCGCTGCATGAGTCAACCCACCTCAACATTAATAATCAAATATGTCTGCCTTTACGTCTTTTCTTTCACTCAATGAAAAAGACTTTCCCCTAACTAGAACTTCTTCCCATTTATCCTCCCAAAATATCACTCAACTGACCTTCCTTTTTAAAAACTATTTTCATCAATGCTTGTTGCTCATGTTTTACAGAGAACAACATACAGTGTTACCAGATGGATATATTTAGTGATAAGATCAAGAGCCAAGAATTACTCCTCCGGTCCTTAATATAAGACCCATTTAATTAATTTGATTAGATTAAAGAAGTTAGGTAAGTTAGTTAATTATACGAAATGTGACACGTTTTTTCTAAAATACCATAATCATTTTTTTAATACCCCTTCTTCCCTTCTATTTGATTATGGTTGAGGAGTATCCATAGGGGTAATTTAGAGAAAAGTGATAAATATAAAAAATGAGTCTTATATTTAGGACCAAAATTAATTCAACAATTAAATCTTATATTAAGGGTCAGAGAGTATTACCTTGTCAAGCATGCGCTGCAGGCGCTGGATTTCATTCTTGGCATAATCAGAATCTTTCTCCATGCAATTCCTGGCGGCTTTCAAGTAAATCTTCCCGTACCTAGTATGTTCAAAATTACAAAACTTGAATTTCCATGCATGTATCTCACTTCGAGCGAAACGCAAAAGTGTCGATGTTATTATGTATACATAGAAATCACATACAACCTTAAAGCAGACCCGTTAAGCTTCTCTACTTGCTCTTCTATTCGGGCAAACACGGCCTTCTTCTCTTCATGCTTAGCAGCTGCGAACTCCTTTACCAAGGCGTCCAAGCTTTCAACTATACCAGCCTATAAGCCAATTATTAATTGCAACAGCTTTGGTTTTTGAATGAATCGGTCAGAACCACTGACCTTTGAAGTAAGCCGTCCTTCTCGGTCTCTACTTGTGCCGCATTTGTCATTGAGGAAAGCGACGATGTCGTTCAAGTCTCTTCCTCCCCCATACACCTCGCCGGCTTTCTTGCTCTTTGGAAAGAACTTCAACGTAGGAAATGCTTTTACATCATTCCTGCATTATTATATTATATAATTATTCTCTGAAACACGCTAGCATCCTTTGGATTTGCCATGACCTCTGAACATACACTCAACTATTCCCTAGCTATAGTACAATGTGGATGAGCTATATATTTCATCTTACTTCGCCGCAAGATCCTTATATTTGTCAGCATCCAGGTTTGCAATCACCACCTCTTCCTCCATTTTAAATGCTGCAGCAACCTTCTCATAAGCCTGAAGTGAAGAGAAGAATCAAACTTTCACGTTTACTAATTCTACAGATGCTGAAGGCCGCCTACAGTTGATGAAAATTATAAAGACTAGCGCAGATGTTTGCTTACCGGGGCAAGTTCTCTGCAATGTCTGCACCTGGAAAATCACAAAAACTTGTAAGCTGATATGCTAGTTGATGGAATATGAAAACAAAACGTAAACTTAGTCTCTTGAAATTTTGGAGCGACCAAAAACTCTGAATTAAAAACTTGTTGAGTACCACGGTGCATGAAACTCAACCAAGACGTCTTTTGTCTCATCCAAGACGACCTCATCAAAATT